CCCCACCCTCTATCTTTTCCCTCCCTAAACTTATCTCTTTGTGACACCCTAAATTTGGTGTATTCTGTCTCCTTTTGATGTTAACAGAGAGATATGACCACAGATACCTAAGCGCTTTTGTGAATTTGATCATATAAAGGAAGCCATTCTTAGTAATAATTTCTAATTATAAACTATCAGATTAAAGGACAAATAAGATGGCTTGAATTTTGAGAATTTGTTTTGTCAAATATTATTAGCTTCTTTATTTAATACATCAGAATAATACATCTTCTGATCTGTATTTTTACCTGTGAGCACACAAGTGGTTATCAACCAAACAGTTCATTTTCTGAAGCTCATTCATTTGATTGGCATAGTAGAAACAGACCACAAATGCATTGCTGCAGAGGTATTCAGATTTTAAGCTCAAATAAACAGTGATATTATACAGAGAAAATTTGTTTCCCTGTCTGTTGAGAACAAGTGATTTGCTACTTCCAGTAATATTATATATAGAAAGTAATTCCAATAAGATTTGTTCCATAGTGCCACTGTGTTCAAACTCTACAACTCATCACTACAACATTTGCTCCATCTCAACTCCCCAACAGTGTTTTGCATGTGGTCCTGCTCAAATCCTTGCTGAACAAATGAGTGTTTCTTTCATTCTGCCTGGAATGCCCTGGAAGTGTTGGGTCCTCATATCCCTGAAGTTTGTTGTTTTGTAATTTTCTGGGCTCACAGAGAGTGAAAGTCTTGAATAAACTACAAAACCACTCGTTACCTGACAAATAGTACAGCAGCCAGCTTCATTATCACATTCTGTTTAGGCGCCGACCCATCTACAAAGAGAGTAATAGGTTTCATGCAAGAAAATATTTATAGCCTCGGGTACTTGAAATATCCCAGTTCATCCGTTTTCTCCAGTTTTTCTTCAGAATCAGAATGAAGTTTTCTGAACTGTGCCAATGTGGAAATTAGGTCAGATTATAAAAGATTTTTAGTATCCCCAGCACAGAAAAATGTTGATTTCAGATGGATAGATGTCTGCATACTCTGTAATTCTGCCATAATTCACAAGAGAATAGCTAACCAAGTGTGTGCTTGATGAATAAAAGAAAGCAGGGCAGAAAATGTCAGGTTTGACATTGTGATCTACAACATTTAAGCATCCT